TTGGAGATGGGCTGGTTTGGGGAATTCTCCAAGGCTCAATGGCCTTCTCAGTGCATTCTTATCTCTTTACTCCTTTAAGGCCTCTATGTGAATCCCTGTGTGATGCTAGTATCTGTAAAAAGTTCATGATCCCGCAGGTGGCATATTTACATAACTTTTTCCAGGTGCTTTAGTGTCCAAATATATTCATGTTCCATCTAGAAGAAAGTGGAGCTACCTTTCCACCCAAGGGATTATGTATTAATTCTTCAGCTATTGGATAAATTCAGACATTTTCACAGTTTGATATTATGAGCTATTGCTTGGAATTCTTTGTGCAGGCTTTGGTGTTAAATTAAAAAAAAAAACCTGCTTATCATTAGTGTCATCCATGTATGGATACTCATTCTGTTCCAAGAACAGCCATCAAAAAGGTTCAGTGTGAACTACAATACAACTTCTGTGTCATTATAGGATCATTGGCCTCCTGCCTAAAGTAAGGAATAGACAATCACTCTTTAGCTCATTTCATTGACAGATATTAGTGGACACCTATCATGTATGAACTTGCCTTATAAGCACTGGCTGACCACTACAATGAACCAAAAATAGGAATCCCCAGATACATAGACTTTATGGAGTAATTAATTAGCAGCTATCTAGAGAACAATTGTTGAATGTCGTAGTTGCAAAAGTGTTGCAAAAGAAAAACATACAGCTCTATGTACGTGTGTAGCAGGCAGATTAGCAAGGTTTGTAGGTTCAGGCAGGAATTCTGGTGCACGTGGCATTGGAGCAGAGCAGGGAAAAGAAGTGGGGAAAGAGGGACAAGATTCTAGTTGGCATAGCCTAGGTACAGAGAAGAATGTATATGGCAGATGATGAAGCAGAATCCAAAATAGTTGGAGCAAGGTGAAGGATGTGTTCAGTCTCAATTTTTTTCTGATTTTTAAAGCATTTGCATATATGTAGTAAAATTGATGAGAGATCAGACCCAAGTACAAACATAAAATTCATTTATGATTCACCTATATTTTATACACACAGTTTAAAGTAATTCTCTGTAATATTTTTAATAGATTTGTTCATAAAGCATCCCATGTTGTGAAATTTTCCACTGTAGCACCAAGTGGAAAAGTTAACTGATTAAGTAATAAATAACATGAAAGCTTCATTGCTTTCATTTTTAAAACAAAATAAATTTAAAATCAGGTATAGCAAGACCGTGAGGAAGAGCATGAGTGATCACTGTCCCACAGACCCATTTTTTCCAAACCCACTCAGAGTTAAAGAAGTGGTTTAACAAATAATAATCAATCATTCAAAAATTCTATAAAGATAATGATTTTTTTAACCAGGGAAATTAATCCAAGGGGCTGTGGAGCTTGTAACAATGGGCTCTGTGTAGACAGCATAATACCTCAGAAGCAAAAGGCTATTTTGGTAGAGTAAGGCCACTAGCTTTTTCAGCTGTTATTAATGACAATGAATTCTGAAACAGTAGGAATACAAATAGGCCCTAAGAAGAGAAATCTTCACCTTTTCAGTACTGAGTTGTTTCAGTATTGCTAGGCATTTAGGAAAGTAGTAAATGCAAGACTCCTTATGCATTATTCAGAGTTCTCTAAAGGAATCAAATCAATGCCATGAATATATACTTTAGAGGAATTTATTAGACTCACAAACAAGATACAGTCTGGGTAGTCCCAGCAATGGCCGTCCCCACACTTGGAGAGGCTGAGAACCCAATAGCTGCTCAGTTCACAAAGCTGGATGTCTCAGTAGTCCCAGCCAGGCACTGTAAGAATTCCTGGACAGCCACTGGTTTTCCTTTTACCCACCTTGGAAGTTTGACAAAGCTGGATTCTGATACCAGTGGAAAAAAATAGTGGCAGTTTCTCCACAGGACTGGTGAACTCAAAAATAGAGTAGATGAACTCACCAGTGAGATGTGAAAAGCCCCTTGGACTTTCAGCCTGATCTAAAGAGTGAGTTCTAGGACAGTCAGAGAAGCCCTGTTTTGAAAAACAATCAAACAAACAAACAAAACCCATAAAAAACAAAGCAATACCCATTTACCATGGGCTTCCCACTTTCAAGTAATCTGATCCAGAAAGTCTCTCACATGTGTACCCAGCAGCTTATCCCTTAGTTGACTCCAAATTAGTCACATTGACAATGAAGATTAACCATTAGAAACCCACCTCTTATCAACTTGCACAAACATAGTCCTAACCAAATAGGACAGAAATTCTTGTGGTAACTGCAATCCTCATTTCTGTAACTTGTCGGTCATATTTCCTTATGTCATGCTTATTTTTCAAACAAAAGTAATAACAACATAATTCCACCCAACATGATATTTTAGTTAGGTTTATGTTACTGTGCTAAAACACCATGACCAAAAGCAGCTTAGTCAGGGAAAGGGTTTATTTCAGCTTAGAATCCATCATGAAGAGAAATCAGGACAGTTCACAGCAGCCATCTGGAGGCAGGAACTAAAGCAGAGGCCTCCTTGGAAGACTGCTGTTTGCTGGCTTTCTCCCCATGGGCTGACCACCTAGGACTCCCTGTCTATGAGTGGCTCTGCCACCAGTGAGCTAGACCCTCCCACACCAGTCATCAATCAAGAAAAATGCTCTGTAGAGTTGCCTACAGACAATCTGATGGAGGCAACCTCTTTCCAGATAGCACTAGGCTACATCAAGTTTAAAAAATAATCACTAGTCAGGACACATGGCATAACTACTGATGTATAAACACAAACACAGTACTTCTCCTCCTCCAGAATATGTGGCCCAACCCCCAGAGAAGTGCTTATTCTTTTTGTATCCCATAACTCAAATACCATAATATAGATTTGTAACAGCTAGCCCCTGATATCGTCTCAATAAATGTTACATTATATTGTTGATGGAAGTTTCTGTCCTGCCTGATCCCACAGCTGTTTAGTCCCAAATAAACACACAGAGATTTATATTAACTGTTTAGCCAATAACTCAGGCTTCTTATTGGCTAGCTCTCTCTTCGTTATTAACCCATTTCTATTAATCTATGTATCTGTATCTCAATGTGGTCTTGGCTTACCATAAAATGCCTGGGCATCCTACCTTCTCGGTAGCTATATGGCATCTTCTTGACTCCACCTTATACCTTTCTCTATTTCTGTTTGGATTTCCCACTGGCTAAATCCTGCCTGTCCATTGACCAAAACAGCTTTATTCATCAATCAATAAGAGACACATATATTCACATCATACAGAAGGACATCTGACATCATTATAGTAAAAGAAATAGAGGGGGAAACCAAATATTTGCTTAAGACATGTGTATGTATGCACAAACATAGTCCTAACCAAATAGGACAGAAATTCTTGTGGTAACTGCAATCTTCATTTCTGTAACTTGTCGTGTGGCCATAGATGACCTATTCTGTATTTCCTCCACCTTTGGCAAGAACCTCAGGAACTTAGAGAGGTTATCCTCTTCTCATTTGAAAAAAATCTATCCACATCCTTTTTTCTCATCAATTTCCCAATCATTTTCCTTTCATGTCCCAAACCATCCTGCCAGACTATTGGTTACAGCCAATGGGTCAGTATATAATCACACATCTCACCATTTCTCCTACCAAGCACAATGTACAACCATATGTACCACATGAAGTTCTGCCTGCTTTGAAGACTTCCATTCACTGGTATCCTTTGGGGTAGTCCCCAAAAGGGGGCTTTAATGCTACATCTGTCCATGTTTCAGTGATTCTTGCATAACATCCAGGACCATCCATAAATCAGGTCCTAGTCTTCTCTTCTTCAATTCACCAATCATAGGGCAGAATTTATAAGGCTATAGGTGCATACTTGGGGAAGAAGGCATTGTAACAGGTAGAAAAAGCAAAGCCATTTGGGCAACTTCCTCATGTGACTTGTTTGTGCCTTCAGGACAAGTTCTGACCAGATCATGTATACATCATCAAATCACTCTATTTGATGATGGGTTGCTGTTGCATACAGCAAATTATATGGCTTGGTGGGTCAGAGAATACCTAGCTAAAGCTAGGCATCTCAGAATTCGTAACTTAGTAGCTCATTGTCAAATGTTAAGCTCCGTTAATGACCAATAGATTATCTCTCAAATCGAGAATAATAGTATGTCTGCATGTGACATTCAGGCCTTGCTCTAAAATCCCAATGGCCTCTCCTGTGATTCAGCTATGGGGACCTGGCAAAGGCTTCAAACAGTATCCCTATCTGCCACTGACACTATGAGTATGGTCAGCTCCTGGATCCTATGGCCTAAGTGGAAAAACAGCCTGTAGAGTATCTAGGATCTGTTGAAGAACTTTTTCCTATTCTAGGTCCCACTCAAAGTCATCAGCTTCCTGAATCACTTGGAATATGGGCCAAAGTAATACCCCCCCAATGAAGAATGTGCTAGCTCCAAAGCCCAAATGGTCCCAATAAGTACTGTGCTTCGTTCTTGATAGTAAGACTGAGAACAGGGGGCGATTGCCTGCTATTTGACAATTTAGAGATGTCATCTCTCTTCTCTCTCTCTTTCTCTCTCCCTCTTCTTCCCTCCCTCCCATTATTTCCTTCTTTACTTTTTTCCATCAATCCCTTCTCCATCTATCTCTATCCATCCATTTATCCATCTTTCCTCCATGAATCAATACATATACATATGTACACACATGGAAATGCTGGTTATGTATTGAAATAATTGATTTTAAAGAAAATCTAGGATGTTCCAGGCAGTTCCAAGCAGTGTAAAGACCAAAATGATCCATGAGATGTTATCCTAACTGGCATAAAGACTGAAATCTAATTTCAGGGACTACTGTGTGTACATATGATAGCTAGATGGAGAAGGTGTCCTCAAGCTATGTGGATATAATAGAAAAAAACATGAATTTAGTGATAACATAATCAGACTAGCGTTAAGTTAAACATTCTTTATCATTTTTGTTTGCTTACTTTTGTTTTATCTTGTTTTGTTTCCTGAAATGTATTCTTTGACAGATTCTGTGGTAACAGCATCCGGGCCACTACTAGTTGAAGTTGCCAAAACTCCTGGTGCCAGCCTTGGGGTTGCCCTAACTACCTCTGTGTGCTGTAACAAACAGGTCATCGTCATAGACAAAATCAAATCTGCAAGTATTGCAGACAGGTGAGTGTCACAGCAAATGCCTGTTGATCAGCACTGTGTATGTGCTTAAAAATGTCATATGCACACTTATACAATATGCACACATATAATGTATACACATATACTTTTACACACACACAGTTAAAAAAAATCCCTGTTGCCAATTTCTACAAATATTACATAAGAAAACAGTTTATTGTTGTGAGCCTTAAATTCATAACTACCTGATGAGACACTCTGTTATGAAATGTCACTTCATCTAGACATTCAGTGTGCCCTTTATCAATAGAAAAACAATACATTTGCTTACCGCGTCCCACAGAAAAACAAGCCCCTGCTTTTTGAGATGGGGTCTTCTGCATCGTTAATAATTAAATCCCACTATCAGAAAATATTACTCCTTTTTGGAAAAGTAGGTAATACAATATTTTTTAAATGATACAGTTTTAAAAGACAAGCCTGATACTGTCATAGTTTTTTAATCTTAATGGCTTCACAACCTTCAGTCAAGGATCTCTTAAACACTATTACAGTGTTATGATAAAAATGCAATTCATTTTCCCAGTTCATATTTTACCTTTGTAAGGTAAATGTGGAAGAGGCAAAATGACTGCTTTTCCATATATTAAAACTGTCTTGCAGCTCCAGGTAGGTAAACCCACTTTCCATACCCAAAGCGCCCTAAGTAAATCACCACAGAATACTATCTCCAGACTGAAGGGGTGCCTTGGATTGTTCTTGCCCTGACAAGTAGATTCTTGCCATGGAAATCCTTAGACCTCAGCTAGTCCACTATGTGTGTTTCCAGCCTCCTTCTCCCTGGCACAGTGACCCACAGCAACCCAAATAGTAATAGGTGGTCTACAGCTCCATTGTTTGCTCCTCTCTGCAGTCACTCACAATGGCAGCCACTGATTCAGCAATGTTCTCCAGCTCATTGGTGCAGGGTGCCTCTGCTTTGTTTTGTTTTTTCTTGTTCCACCATGGGTAGCCAGTTTAAGGAACTGTCCACTTGAATGGTCCAATGGGTGCCAATTCATCCAATAGGCAGCAAGTGTCTTGTTCAGCAAGGAGTAGCAGCTAGACTCCTCCCACTATCTTTCCCTCAAACTTCCCGACGTAAGCCTGGTTTCATTGCTTTTAACTCCTGCAAAATTTCTATCCTGTGCTAATGAATTTGGACTCCGGTCGAACAAAACAGAGGGCCGTACTAAAGGACTGGTAAATTGGAAGCCTCTAAGAAAAGATTGGGAGGAAGCAGTTGTTGAACCTCTCCATCATGCCCCTACCTGAGACCTTAGGCCAGTTCCGCACACCACATCTTAAGATGCTGAGAGACTGACAGTTCGTAACTGTGAATAGAAGAGCCTAAGAGAAAAAAGTCAGCGAACAAAATCAGGGAGGAAAAATAATTTCTCTTCTCCGTGCCTCTCTCGCTCTCTTCCCCTTAGCATGCCCATCCCCAACCCTTAAGAACAAAATACATTGAAAAATGAGAGAATAAGAAAGTCAGCTCTTCACATGTTTTTTTTTTCTGCATTTCCCACAAGGTTTTACATTCCAGTTCAGATCCAACATGCCTAAAATATAGCAGGTAATCTTTCCTGCTAACGTTCAATGTTTTAAAGCAAATGATGACTGCATAAGGTGAAAATGGAAATCTCATCCTGAAGGGAAAGGTTTTTGATGCTGCCGTTTCTCCTCTCCCTAGATGTGGTGCGCTGCACGTCGGGGACCACATCCTCTCCATCGACGGCACCAGCATGGAGTACTGTACGCTCGCCGAAGCCACCCAGTTCCTCGCCAACACCACCGACCAGGTCAAGCTGGAGATTCTCCCACACCACCAGACCCGCTTGGCCCTGAAGGGGCCTGACCACGGTGAGAGGAGCTTTCTAGATCCTTCTCTTTATCTTACACTTGCAGTTTTCTTCTGACAGAGAGTTAGGAAGACCAGTGTTCCTCCCTTCCTGTCTCCAGCTGGTCTTCATTCACCCTTTCACAAGCATGTATAGTTACTGGAAAACAGAAGAAAGAAATACTGAACTTGAAATTTCAGGCTACAACTGTGTGTCTACATGTTTGTGTTTGTGGTGTGTGTGTGTGTGTGTGTGTGTGTGTGTGTGTGTGTGTGTGTGTGTGTGTGTGTTTGCTTAAACTTTGCTATAAATTGAATATTATGAGAAGGAAAATGATTTGACTTCCTGGTGGTGACAATGAATTTTGACTGACTATAATGGACAATGAAAGCAAGCATTAGCACTCACAAAACAAAACATAAAGCCAAAAACACAATTTGCAGCAAGGAGGCCAAGAAGAACTGTCTTGCTAAGGACATCACACGGTATTGACCTTTACAGCCCTTTACCACCATCATTGTGTCTCTGAATGAAATCTGTTTACTATCCTAAAATAAAATAAAACAAATTCATATTCATAGCAGATCCACTAAATATTCATCAGGGAGAGCCTGTTGTATGGAGGATTGATATCTATGGTTTTGTCTATTTTCTGGAATATTTATACCTCAGGATAAAGAATACACTTTCTAGCCAAACTTCCTGGCAGGGAGAAGGAGAATTATAGACCTCCTTGCAGTAAATATTCTCATAGCTGCCTTGCAGGGTATGGACAAGTTCTCGATGTATGAAACCATCCACTAGGGCAACTTTTTGTTTTTGTTTTTGTTTTTTGAGACAGGGTTTCTCTGTGTAGTCCTGGCTGTCCTGGAACTCACTCTGTAGGTTGGCGTGGAACTCACAGAGATCCACCTGCCTCTGCCTTAGAGTGATGGGATTAAAGGTGAGGGCCACCACCGCCCAACTCCACTTGGGCATCTTAAAGTGAGATACAAGAACAAGACTTCGAGGCGTAAATGCCGGAAGTCGGTGTGTCTGGTGGGAGCCTTCGTTCCATTTCCTTTCCCCACCTATTTATTAAGGCACATGCCACAGCTCCCTTTTCAGTCCTGGAAGCAGGAGGCCTCCCTACTGTTGGGGGCATAGATTGAAAGAGGAGAAAGTGCTTTTCTACAGTTAGCTACAGCCAGGTTTTCTAGCATTGGAATTTCGCTTGTGGGAAGGTCATTTACATAGTGTTTCTCACCTTCTAAAAGGCACTGCACTTCTCCACAGGGAGATTAAAAAAAAAAAAAAAAAAACAGGGACAAAATAATTTTCATACTGAATGAGTCAGCTGGATGCAACCTTTTTTAATTAAACGGAGTTTAGACGGCCCCTGAAGCTAGTGATAATCTCCAGTATGACGCTCTGCCCTTATCAGATTTTAATTGACACACTGGAGTGGGGAAAGGATGCAGCATAGGCAGGTTAAGATTGGAAAGCAGCACAGTTGAATCGAGGCTCCAAGGAACTGAAGGGTGCTGAGGCTAGGGATGTGGGAAGGGGCGCAGGTCTCCCTCCAGGAATGTAGGAAGGGATTCACATCTAAACCCAAGCCCTCTTGAGGTGGGGATGTCTAAAACTGTGTAAGTATCTTCTCGTGTGTATGAAGTCATCATCGGACTTGGGGCACAGCAGGCTGAAGACCGCATGCTGTTCTCTTTCAGGAAGGTGTTGCCTCATATCCAGAATCAGTAATCAGAAACGTGAGCAGACCCTTTCTAATGCCACTTAAAAAAAAACAAAAAACAAAAAAACCTCATTATTTTACTTCATCTGCCCTGACGTGAATCCTAAATAGTTCAACTCATGAAATATTAAATATTTTAACCTGTTGAGATAATTGGAAAAGATGAAGAGTTTATATGCTGAACTGTATGGAGCGAGAACACATTGTTTTTCTTTTCCTGGAAGGGCTGACGTCATTTATATTTGTACCGTAGGAGGCTGACAGTCTAGAGTTGGCTGCCTTCCTTATTTAGCATATTAGTGTCTCCCCTATGTTTTTGCATTAAAAGCAGAGTCCCTAAAAGAACTAAATAGTGGCACTTAAACATAATTATGTCTTAGTCCTGAGGGGAAATGATTGAAAGAGAATGTGGGGTTGCTTTGCAATTCTCAAGTTTCTATTTTTGTATTAATGGGGTCTGACATATTTTCACCATTCTTCCAAAAATGTAAGTTCTGATTGCTTTTTCCTGGTGCCTGGGCACTGTGTCTCTTATCTCAAGAAAATAAGAAGATCCAACGTTTTCCAAATTTGATTAGCTACAATGCATTTGTCCCAGTGACAGTGTAGAAAAGGACAAGCCAACTCAGGATAAGAGATCCTTCTCCCTTTCCCTGGTGAACATCAGTATTCACAACACTGGCAACAGTGGCCTTTTCAGGGATAGTTGTGTGGCTCTGGGGGAGTATGCTTGCCTAAGCATGTACATGGCCTTAAGTTGTATCCCCAGCAACACAACAAAAAGGAAAAACATTAGTTTTCATTGAGGTTGAAAATTTTCCCACTGCAGGTCTTTGGGAGATATAAACTCAACTAAAGGAGAAGGGGCCCCAGGAAAGTCAGTGTGGCCAGAGTCGCTGGGCTTAATTTGTTCAAAACAGAAGAATATTCCATTCTGCGATGTCCAGGGGCAGCCACCAGACGAGCTGCCACCCATTCTCTCAGACATGAAGAGCAAGAGAACACAATTATGAATACAATCAGTGCCCTGTGTGTCATAAGTGTCTGAAATTATAGCAGCAATGCCACAGCACACTGGCATAGGAAACATTGTGTTTCAGCTTGTTGTCTCATATGGAGCAAGGGTTTAGGAGCCTCTACAGGAAGAGGCAGTGCAGCATGGTAGCTATGGGCTGGGTTCTAGAGCAGACTTCCAGAGATTTCATTCTGATGCTACCTCTTGGGACCTTAAGGAAGCTACCCAACATTTTCTGTACCTCGTAGTCTTCATCTGTGAAATGTGGGTATCGTAATGCTCACCTCATCAGAATGCTGGAAGCAGCATCGCCTGAGACACTCCATGAAAAGGCAGCTAACACAGGATCAGGGATGCAGGAAGGATTCAATGACCGTATACTACTATTATTGCACAGCTAAGTAGTTCCCTCTTCGAAATGCAAGAACATGTCCAAAGTGTGATATCTTACTATTAATCTCCTGGGATGCTTATTTAGTATATGACTATCAGTTATACTACTTTAAAACACAAGCGATTTGGAGTATACATTCAAAATGGGCATTAGATGCGCTCTCTGTCCTGTGTTATTTTTAAAATAGCTTTTGCAGAAGGCCTTCATCAATCATGAGTCCAACTTTCTGCATCATTTATATCATTTTATTTCATAATCATTGTGCATATATAGACTTAGTCCCTGATAATAGTTAAGGGTCAGGGTAAAATTTATAGCCTCCTTTTCACCTGCCTACAACAACTGGCACAGAGATAAGCACACGCTACGTGATTGGCAATACCTTCCTTATGGGTTCACTAATTTGTCCTGACAGTTGTAATAAATGTTCAGTAGTTTTCAGAGTACCTACTAAAGAGTGTGGAATTCTGAAGTCTATTCACTCTAGCCTGGCTTCATTAAAAATATACACGACACTTGGGTAAAAGGACAATAGAGTGGCTGTGATTGTAGATTAACCAGACCTAGCACTGGCTGCATCTGCTACAAGGTGCCTTGTGTAACACAAAGTAAAACAAGTATGTTGGAAAAAATAACAACAACCACTAATGTCTTACCCAATACTCCTTTATCTCAAGGAAAAAGCTGTTGCCATGCAGATGTCAATCATTATGTCCTGGGTACTGGGTATCATTCTAGGCTCTACGAAGCAAGACAAGTAGACCTCTATTGTTACAGGACGTGCATTCTAGAACAAAGAGATAGCAGGCATTGTATAGTAAGGCCATTTCAGAGGGTAACAAGGGTTGTGCAAGATACAAAACGGTTAGTGAGCTAACATGGCATTGGCCGCTGCTTCATCCAGTAAGGTCAGCATTGGTTCCTCCATAGAGACAGCACTAAAGCCTGGGTGATGAGAAGGAGCTAACCATACAAGCAACTGGAGGGAGCCACATCTATCCAAAATGAAACAAGGAAGGTGGCCAGCTTGGTCAAAGAGGCATAAGACCAGTGTGGCTGAAAGATATGAATGGTGAATGATCCAGAAGAAAAAAATTAGAAGGTAGAGACTGTCTGATTCTCCTTGCAGCATAAGCCATGGACACAGGAGTGACAAGATTGAACATGTACATTTAAAAGTTCCCCCTACATGTGTTGTGGTTCCTGGAAAGCAGGTGCTGGAGATAGATCAGAGGACAAAGTGTGGTGGTATTGCATTGGTCTAGAAGGAGATGGCTGCTGAGACTGAGAGAGTCCATAGATACTCCTGAAGAAGGATAGATCCAGTTCCAGACCACAAAATTACAGGGGCTGTGAAAATGGGTGCTTTTATAGACTTTTGACAAATCTTCTGAAATCTGTTGACAAAAATCTTGTCTCGTATTTCCTTTAGGGACATTTTGTTGTTGGTAAGTAGATGGAACAATGAGGGGAATCAGTGTTCTTACTCATAACTCATTTGCTTGTATTCTGTGGACCAGCACCATGCTGCACACCATATGCTCATAACTCCCATAGAGGGAATTGATGTTTTCATGAACCATTTACTATGAGGACGTTGAGGCCAGGAGAGGTTGAGTAGCTGGCAAGTTCAAAGACAAGGTGAGGGACAAAAGCCAGTAAGTGATGCCCAGGGAAGCCTCACTCCTGGAGATCTGCCCATGCTAGAGCTTTTGCTGTGACGCCCTCCAGAGAGGATGAAAAGAATTGGGGATGCCCTCCCAAGCTCATATCTCAAGAACATTCATTTGCATGCATGCAAAGCCTTCCACCGCTTTGTGTGACCAACTACTGCAACTCATCCAGACTCTTAGCCATAAAATCATAAAAGCAAATCAAAGTTCATGGTTGTTTGCAACTCTTTGAGATCATTCAGTGAAAAAGTCCCTCTCAGTCATAGTGACACAGATATAATACTACTCATTTTCCAGAATGCCAGAAGCAAATTTAATTTTTCCTTGTTTTGAAGGCAAAGTCTTTTGTTAATTCAGGGTGGGAACTTTTTTTTTTTTTGTATTTGCAACATTTTAATAATAAAGGGGTTTTGTTGGTGGTGGTGATGGTATTTTTGATTTTTTGATACAGGGTTTCTCTGTGTAGCTTTGGAGCCTGTCCTGGAACTCACTTTGTAAACCAGGCTGGCCTTGAACTCACAGAGATCCACCTGCCTGTGCATTCTGAGTACACTGGGCTTAAAGGCCTGTACCATAAAGTTTAAAATTAAACATTAAAAAAATATAGCCCAGGCTTACACTCATGGTTGCTGTGCAGCTTGTGATGGCCTTGAAGTTTTTATTCTCTGGCCTCAGCGTCTTGAGTGCCACCACGCCCAAGTACCAAACCTAGGGTCCATGTAAACTAAACGAGCATTCAGACTCACCACATCCCCATCCACAAACTCAAATCTCAGTAACAGCTAATCATTTTGTTTACAAAAATAAAAGGGACACCCAAACTTTGAAGTTAAACTCATTCCAATTTGTATGCAATATGATTGAAATATAGTAACATTAAACCAAATGTTTCTCCTACAAATAAGCTATTAGAAAATTCATAAAGTACATGGAGACTTTTCTCCTAATTAGTCGGGAAAGAGAACAGATCCTGATAGGTGCAGATGATTGCGATGGTTTATTGTTGAGAAAAATCAGGCACACTTGACAGACGGACGGACAGCAGTGTAATTACAACATCAGGGTAGTAAATTGTGCCCTGTGACTCCTGCAGCACACGCATCACAAGCCAGCATGATTAACCATTCCTTCTCCTCTTTTTCTTCAAAGAAGTGCTCCTAACTGACCAAGATTTGCAAAGCTCTAATTACTAATCGTGTGCCATAGATCTTTAAGGGGATGACTTTTACGTTTAAAAAAAAAATGTTTTTTAATCCCTGCAGTGAAGCTCAGGGGGAGATTAGAAATTGATTCAGTAGTCATCTTAAAAGGAGAAAAGATGGGCTGGGGGAAAGACACGCATGATTCTCGGGAAGATGAAAAGTCTCCATGGCTGGTGTTAATCATCTCTTCTGCTGACCGCTTAGAAAAGGGCAAAGCCAAGTAGATATTTTCCCCCTTTTGCCAACAGCTTTCATTTTTGTTAACAATTTTTCTTTTTCTTTTTTTTAATTTGTGCAATTCAGTTACTTTTTTCCTTTTTTTGTTGTTTATTTTTGGCTCTTTGTTTTCCTTCTTCCTCATCATCACTTCATGTGGGCAGTGAAAATTCAAAGGAGCAACAGACAACTTCCTTGGGAATCCTGGGCCAGCAACCCGTGCAGCCTTCACACCAACCATCACCATAACTCGTTCCACCCAGACCATTGCAGAGTGCCAGCCCTGACTTTCCCGAAAGCGCCTCCTCCAAACAGTCCTCGTAATGTTCCACACTTTCTTCTCTTGGTCTCTCATTTGAGTATCTCTTTCTCATGCCTCTTCCTAACTCACTCCATCTCTGGCTTTGTGGGTGTTGCCTGCTTTCTGTTGTCACTGTTGCTTTCTTTGTACTAACAATGTGTCCTTTCTGGCTTCTGGCTTCTTCTTTTCCACTGTCATTCTAAAAGGATGCAAGGGATGGCCATGTCCCTTAATGATAGGTGACTTGCCTTGCTTGTGTGAGGCCCCGAGTTCAATCACCTGCACCACAAAAGCAATACAGGGAGAAAATATATAAATGTTTGGAAGGCTTTATGTGCAGCTCTGGAGACAACTCAGAACAATGGAGTAGGGTGGTCTCAGATCTCCTTGTATGTGAATCACTTAAGACAAAGTTGTCAGAAAATACCCCCAAAATGACACTGTGTACACTGATGTCTTAAGTTATCAATGGAGAAATATGTTTTAATCTTTGCTTTTATCTAAAGCAAAATTCATAGTCTGTGTGTGCCTATATGCTATGGAGGACCCTGTTCCTCAAAACTTATAAACTCATGTGACTCTGAGACTTTAAAGTGCTGGTTCTAGGGCCTGGTCTCTGTTCAGATGTGGGATATTGACTAACTGTGGCTGTGTGTCCTATGTCTCTTTGGGTTGTTGCTGGTTGGCAAGGGTGGCAGGCTCAGGCCCCACCTAGGGATGCTCCGTGCCAAGTCTCCACTCTCTTCCAGCAGCGATGGTGTCCTCATCTTCCCCTACCTCCATGAGCGCATACAGCCTGAGTTCCCTGAACATGGGGACTTTACCTCGAAGCCTCTACTCCACTAGCCCACGAGGAACCATGATGAGGAGGAGACTGAAAAAGAAAGACTTCAAAAGCTCACGTAAGTAAAATACTAGCTAGGTGATCCATTCACTCTCCAGAAAATGTGTGGGTACTCTGAGGGGTAAGGTGATTAGGGAAATGTTGAGTAGATGGTAGCTCTGGGCTAAAGACCATGATTGAAACCCATAATCTGAGTGGTAATGTGTACACTGAATATAACTTCAGGCTAGTTTAGCTGTTTCTACCTTTTCCTACAACTTTGCCTTTACCAATCTTTTTCCTTTCTCTTTTAATGTCGTTTCACATGCCTTTCTACCCTAGGTGGCTTCAGGCATAAACAACTATTGTTCATATCTTATTCCTCCTAAAGCTGTTTTATACAAGCTCTGCCCCTCATTTGATAGGTATGAGTCTTGTACATTTAATTAATACAGTAAAATTTCATATTCTATTTCTTGACCTTCTTTCAAAACAATAAGTTTGAGAATTCCTTTTCAAATTCTTATTCCCAAGTTTCCTTGACTTTTGTCATTATTCTATACCACTGAAAAATCACCTCTGTTGCATGTATTTCTTGGTTTTAATATAATACTTTAGTTATAAGTGTATATATTCATGCAATGTATTTTAGCCATATAAATGCCCCCACCCCCTCTCCAACTACTTTTGGAATTTTCCATGTTCCTCTCCCAACTAAATGTAATGCTGCCCATATATGCCTGGGACATCCACTGAAAAATGGTTGGCCTACCAGGGCCTGCAACCTTGAAGAAGAGTGTGACTGTCCTGTCTTCTAATAGCCATCAACTATTAGATGGTAGCTCTGGGCTAAAGACCATGATTGAAACCCATAATCTGAGTGGTAATGTGTACACTGAATATAACTTCAGGCTAGTTTAGCTGAAGTTATAGCTAAACTTTAGCTGAAGTTATAGCTCCTCAGCAAGGAGTAGAGGCTCATGTGCCCCTCCCACATCCTCCCTGGATGTGGGATGTGACTGGCTTGATCGTGTATAGATCTAGTGCCAGAAGTCAGAGCTTCTATAAGTTCATCTGACCTGTCATGTTGGGAAAATACTGTTTCACTGCAGGTGCCAACTACCTCTAGCTCCTAGAATCAATCTTCACTATCTTCCTTGATATTCCCTAAGCCTTGGTGTGTGTGTGTGTGTGTGTGTGTGTGTGTGTGTGTGTGTGTGTGTTTTGCAGGGGGTGTTATATAGATGAACAGACACTTATTCTCTGCACTTTAAGCAGTTGAGTTTCTGTATTAGCTGCCACTGACCACACAAAGATGACTTCTCTGATGAGGACTGAGAGCCACACTAGACTATGATATAGTGATGTATGTTTAGAAGGTAGTTTAATACTGTGTTCATTTAAGGAGTATAGAGTTTAGAAAGCTACAAGGATGCTATAATTTACAAAAGCATCCTAAAGTCTAAGAACTTCAATTTTCATTCATGAGGATATTTTCTGAGATAGATAGCCAAGTATATATAGACAAATAAAGGCTAGGGAAGTGTGGTTGGCCATTTGCTTTGAGATAGCATGATTTATATAGAAAGAATGGCTAGATGTTTCTTTATAAATAAACACAGGCTACCCCTAATTTTTTCTTTTCTGTTAAAGAATCTGGATATCTTTCATCTTAATCATATTTAAGGCTAGAGAATGCCCTTATTTCCAGCCAGATCTAAAATCATAGATTAGTGTATATCATGCCCTATATCTTTTTGGTGGCTATGATTGTGATCCTATGAAGAAATGTAAAGATGATGGGGTCTACTTCTGTGTCTACCATGGTAATAAAGTGGAGGGACATCTGTAAGTTACTTCAGTCATGTCAAACCCAGCAGTCCCAAGGGTGGCGTTGACAAGAGAAGGATCTTTTAGCTCTTTATTTTGTGCACCAAAGAGTCCTTATCCCTAGAAGTTGTCTCATGAGTCCATCAGTACTACTATACCGGGGGCAGCAGCTATATATAACCCACTCTAGGACACAGTTTCAAGTGGTGGGAACCTGAAACCTTCATTATAAAGAAAACCACAATAAAAGACATGACCACCATCTTTGATTTCCTGGTGGTATGCACTTAATTTTCAACTTGTTGATCCTTTAAATGTAAAACTTGTGAAAGGTAGAGATAGGTCAGTGACATAGAATGTGTTCTGATTTTGCAAGAGGACCTAGATTCCATTCCAAGTACCCAAATCGGGTTTCTCAAAGCCATTGGTAACTCCAGTACCAGGGGATCTTATGTCATCTTCTGGCCTCTGTTGGTACCTGCATTTACATACATAAATAGAAAATGGACAGACACAGATAGAAAAATGGGCACACACATTAAAAATAAAATATGTGTTCAAATATAAGGTTTGTCACCTTCAGTAAATGAAATTAATAGTGACTTGGAGCTTAGTCAAAGAGAGCAAAATGCATCTAGATTTCCAATTGCTTCCTAACTAAGGCTGGGGTAAATTATTTCGTCTTGGCAGAGATCAGTTGCAGCTACAAGGAAAACTGATGGTGAGCCTGACTCTGCATACTAGAGGCCTGACACCCCAACATTATATTCTAGCTGTGGGACCCTGAACAAGTATCTTAAGCTTTCCATACTTTTGGCAGTGCACAACCAATTAGAGGGAGAGCTACAAGGGAGGCTTTGTTTGTTAGGGCTGTGAGATTTGGCCCCTATAGTGATCACCATCTTTAAAGGGACAGGCTCATGATGTAACAGTTACACGTCTTGAGTTTTTCATACAATGCCCCATGACTTGAAGTGGGTGTTTGTATATCACATATCTATAATTTATGGTGTCTTCATGTACAATGCTCATCGCTGACAGAAGCAGACCAGAGCCATCAAAATCAATTCATTAATGTTTGTATTTCTGCTTTGAAGGCTAGCCATTTGTTTGTGTTGGGTAGATCTTGCCGTGTTGATTAAGGTCATTAATGAATACAAATGAATGCTAATATATCTGTCTGCCTTGCATTGATATTTGCACATCTTGAAATTTGTAATAAGAAACAAAGCTGAGGCCTGACTTTCCCCTCACCAACTCACAAATTCTCTCTTGAATCGGCACACAGTCATTCAACTGTAGCAAGAAGATACACTGAAACCTGGGTTGAGAAATTTCATGTTTGCTGCAGATGGGAGCCACTAGGGCCCCAATGACAATGCATGTGTAACAGGATGTTTATAAAAGTGTCTCAGGAAATCAGACACTTTATATCTTTATGAATCAGTAGAGCCCAAATGGTATGAACTCTTATTCCCACTTAAAATACATGAAAAATGAGAGTATTCCTATTTTGGGGAAAAATTGAGAATTTCTCTCCTTTGTTTTATTGCTTAATGTGGCCATTTTAGATAAAAAGACCCCAAGTAACTAAAAATTAAAACTTCATCACCATCCTCACTATATATCTTGGTTTCTTCCCCTGTTTTATTTATGTCTTCATTCTGGGCTGCCATTTGCTGTCTGGTTTCTAATAGTTATGTTTCTATAGCAACCAGGGCACTCATGGATGGTGAGTCACAGGGAAAGCTGCAAAGATAATAAAAGGTCTCTTTGCTCTATTGTTGATGAGGCGATAGTTTACAAAACAGAGCAGAAAGTTCTTATATGTGTTTGCCAGATAAAGCAAGGACATTGCCAGGAGACAATGAATATTGTCACATATATATTGAAACACTCATCGTGCAAAGATGAAGGTACAGAAAGTCTGTAACAATATGTTATGGACAGTGAGAAGGTGTAGTGTTTGTTTCCGGGGAGAATGATGAGTTCTATGAACTCCAGCCTTTGAGTGGAGTCACAGAGCCCAGAAAGAGCTCCAAGCTATGTCACAGAGGAAACTCAGCCCCACCTCTGGAATCTTATTGGCCCCTCCCCACAGCCAGGGCTGCTCCCTTTTCAGCCACCAAGGTCAAGGCTTCTTCCACACCTGTCACCTACTGTTCTAGTGGCATGAGTACACGGTGCATCTAGCTTAGCCCTTTCTGCCACTGTAGACAGAGTCAGTGTGGTGACCCTGCCTTTTCCCAATTGACCTGGATTATAGCAAACGGCAGAAGTCAGAAGGCATTCCCAGAATGCCCCTTGTTTCTCTGGTCGCTATCACTTGTTGCTAGAGAGGGTGATACTGAACAGAGCTGAAAGGAAGGAGATGAGGAAACCTCATAATTTTCACCACCACCCTTTCCGTCGACCCCTAAGAAAAGGACACAAGACAAATGCATCTCATGGTAAGCTTGCACGAGTAACCTTGCAAGGAGTTGAAAACAGACAGCTTAGATGCTGCCCTTCAGCATCTAAGGGTAGAATGAGCTGTCCACCCCCTCTCCATTCCCAAATTGGATCCTGTGATTCACAGTGTGTTGGGTCCACAGAATACCACCTTCAACCCCAGAGCTTTAATGAGGCAGAAGTCTCAAATAGGGGGACCAAACAGCAAAAACACATTATCCTAACAAAGCCCCGGGCTTTTATTCTCTCTAAACTTTTAAAATGTGTTTTTATCTGATTGTAAAGTCCATGGCCTCTATAATTAACACACTAAACATAAATGTTCAAAAGCCAAAAGTCTAAAAGCCATAGACTGCCATTGACTTCCCCTACCCTCCTGCTGTATATTCGGAAAGACTGACAGAGCTGAAGAATTTGTTCCCTGCAAACCTAACAAGCTGTGAACAGGTCTGTCTGTGTGCATGGAAACAGACAAAAGCAGAGGGACTCTGGGATGCACACCAGAGAATTTGCCACCCAAATCTCAAATTACAGAAAGCACCTCCTTCTTTTGCTGACCAAGCACACTGTTGAAGCAGGGTAATCACTGCCAACGGTACACAGGTTGCTTTTTTGTGTTCTTTTGGCTTTTGGTCTTTAGGTCTATAATTTATCTTTTTTTTTTCAATTGCAATACTTTCTAAGGACTTGATACAAGTGGCCACACATCCTGACCCCCACCCTCTTCCCTGCCTTCTGCCGGAAACCCAGAGAACCTGGCTGTAGCATCCCACTGTGAAGTCTTCTCTCTTCCTGGGAATCTGTAAAAAGGGAAGCTAGTCTTCTATGTCCCAGCCAGATTGTCTATCTGTGATGCTAACATCGAAACTCTCCTCAAAGCCCTTGTCCTGCTGTTGTCTGTCTGTCCATGGTGTTAATAAAATAACTGTATTTGTAAACTTATTAGCCCAGCAACTTCTCAATTTCCCCATGAATTCAGTTTCAGAGACCTTTCACTTACCAATGGGAAATGGTATCTTCTAGTAGTTTTGTGTGGCTGATAGCAAAAAAAAATGTGGTCTAGAAAACTAAATGCATGCATGAAGAAAGTCAGACTAGAAAACGTATCAGAATTAAATGTGTTAGCCCCAAGTTGCACATTGGAATTTTAAGCCATCCACCACATGTGAGAAGTATAGATTTGAGGACTACTGCCTTCCCCCACACAGTGAAAACTATGTTACCCATAATACAGATGAGAAAGAATGATGTTGACCTCTTAGGGAAAAGCTTTTTTTTTTTTCTCTTAATCAAACGATCCATCTCTACCTCCCTTATACTATCATTTCCATTGATCTCCATGATAGAAAAGTTTGGGTGAAGAGTGACTGCTGATCCTTAATGGTGACTCAGTAGTAAGTAAATGACATATTATTTCCAAAAGGAAAATACAGATAACATCATAAAATAATTCATTAAAGAAGGGGTCATTTGATGATAGAATAGAGAAATCACTGAGCATAAACGAATCCAGGTACATGTATATTAGAATGGCTGAAATAAACCCACATTAGAGTGTCAATAGGAAAAGTGGAGACAATTACAGATTGATTTGAGATGATGGGGAGTCATGAGCCAAAGGCTGCTGTGAGATTTCAAAACCATAGGACTACAACATGATCATCTTAGCCAGGGGCTGATACCGTAAGAAACTAATATCAAATCTTCATCGACACCTTAAGAGCAATTTACAAGGAAGGGATGTTCCTGGAGCCCGTCTCTGCACAGCAGTTAGAGGGAATGGGGCCATTGATTCTTTTTCTTTTTAGCAATCAGAGTCATCTGTGAGTGCGGTGTTAGCAAAGAGTAAAAGGAGACACATGTGAAGCAGTGTCAGAATCAGCACAATTCTGCAGAACAAAGTCAGAAAAGCTAGGAAAGTGGTGGGAAAGTTCAGAAAAGTGATGACAGGAGAGATGCTGTCCACAGTGTAGCATCCCAGAAGGGCTAGAAAGTGGGGAACATCAAAATGTCACCAAGAAGGGTTGTAGTGAGATGCCTGGAATCCTAACACTTGGGCCAGAAGTTCAAAGTTATCTTCAGCTTTATAGGTAGCAAGCCTGTGGTCAACCTGGGCTACATGAGACTGTGATTCAAGATTAAAAAAAAAAAGCAGGATATGGAAATGGGGAGAATAGTCAAGAGGGAAAGAAAGAGAGGAGTTGAGAACACAGAATTGCAAAAGGTTGGGATGAAATATTATCTAGGAGACATTAAACGGGCAAATCTTGTCATTCTCTCAAGAAGTGACATTTGACCCTTTATAAAGATGGAGGCCTGTGAAATAGATCCCTGAGGAATTAAATTGGGGGGAGTACATATTCCAACAAAGGATTTTAGGGTCCAGTAGACCATAATAAGAATTTAGATCTGATTTTTTTTCTGTCAGTTTTCAACAATTCAGTAACATATGGGGAGTTGACTAGGCATTACCAAAGAACACAGAGTATGTTGGCAAATCATGCAGTATTTAAGAATCTCTGGTAGTTACTGATGTTTCTCTGAAGTGGTCCCCAGGCTTCCAAGGACAGTGTGGAGAGAAATGATAGAAATGAAAGACAACGGGGAGGGCTTTACATCCACAGGCCTCAGAGTCTCATGGGAGGCTGTGGGAAGAACTTTAGAGTCTCCTACCCCTACTTCAGCTAGTGTTGCTCTGTTTATACCTAAAATATAAAGTTATGTCTGTGTATGTTTTCATTTAAAGAGGAAAACTCTGTTGCATGTAATACTATTTGAACAGCAGTAGGCCTGGAGACAAACAACAGGAAATAGTACTACAAATTAGATGGAGAAGAAACTTAGACTGTAGGAGCTGACAAAGTCACTAATACAGGATGTGGTAGAAAAGGAGGGTGCAAATATTAAGGTCTTGGGGATTTTTTTGAGGGAAGGTGGGGTGCACCTTTGACAGAAACCTGAAGAAAGATAGATATATTTGCTAGTAAAGGGCCTTGAGAGAGCTGAAGTGCCAAAAAGTTGTGTGTTAGAAGAAGGTTGTCACCACAATAAGGACAGAGAAAGAGAAAGGTTAAAGTTAGAACATGGGAGAATGAAGACATGAAGTCGGCAAAGAAATAGGGAAATTATAAAGAGGTGGAAAACTAACCTAAAAATATTAGGCAGCATTTTACATAGAATTTTAAATAGCAGTTTGAGAAGAGAAAGCGCTGTGAATGAGTAAAGAGTAATCAACAAAACAAAACAAAACAAAAACCTCTCTTGGTCCAATGTAAAAGAGTAGAAAAGTGGGTTTCAGTTGGAGCAGGTTGGAAGTGTCTTTAAAGTAGGGAACAAAAAGACCCATTCTGGAGAACATGACATTTTAGCAAAGGACCTTTGCAGACTGATAGCATGCTCAAGCACAAGAGGCCAGGGCTTGTATGCTCAGCAAAGAAAGGCATCTACAAGTGGAGTGGCCCATTCTCTATCAAGGCTGGAAACTTGCATGAATGCCAGAGAAGTGAATGAAATGGGAGACAATTAATGACTGGAGGCTAAGCAAAACAATGAACAAAACATGGACGGACCAAACTTAGGGACAGGCGAAATGTATGAAGTTTAAATGACTCACAATGCCCACCCAGTCCTGGAGAAATATTGGGAACCAGCACAGCCTCATTACTCCTGGGGGCACAGAGATATTATTTCCTCAAAACAAAAGCTTAGCTTGTTTATAAGCACATGTGGCTGAAGTGGGAAAACTTAGACACAGCATCCCAGCTCTCCTTTCCAGAAAAAAAAAAAATGAGAGATACAGACATACCGTGATGGGATGACCTGCCCCAAGGTCTTCCTCGGTTGATGCTCATTTGTACAGCCCCCAACTAGATGGCATGCTCAAATCCCATGGTTGTCCTACTTTCATAGTCTCTTCCCAGTTCCTGGGACTGGGCATAGAGTGGCTACACTAATCATGACCCCAGTCTGACAAATTTGGAGCTGTGTTTACCCTGTTCCAGCATTCTGCTGTAAGAAGAGTATTTAAACTCCCTCCTTTGCAGATGAGTTCCCGTTCAGATGTACTCTGTTTTGGAAAAGCCAAAACTTGCTTGAGCTTCCAGTCATCCTCTTCATGTCTGTCCCTCTAGTGTCTTTAGCTTCTAGCACCGTGGGATTGGCTGGACAGGTTGTTCACACAGAAACCACAGAGGTTGTACTGACGGCTGATCCTGTCACGGGCTTTGGAATCCAACTGCAGGGCAGTGTGTTTGCCACAGAGACGCTCTCCTCTCCGCCTCTGATTTCCTATATTGAAGCTGACAGCCCAGCAGAGAGGTGAGGTACCCTCCCTTCCCAGAAGCCTTTTTGCCCTGCATTTCTAACTCCAGCAATCTGTGAATAATAAATAATGGAACAGTGCTTCAGTTCAGGAAAAGCAAAATGTAGTTAACTCTCCATTCTGATGATAAAATTTTATGGTCTTGATCAGGTTTGAGAAGCATTATGAGCAATAGTGATTTTATTTAGCAGATTTTGCCCACTGGAAAACTAGAGGCTGTATTAATTTTAAAGGAGAAAATCTATACAAAAAATGACTACCATTCAACTGGTTATTTCTCTGCATTGCAGGAATGTAAATTCATCTTTACTGACTGTTTGTTCTGGTCAGACTATAGTGCTGTCATAGTTATGAATTATTAATTAATTCACTGGGATCCTTAAGAACCCCCTTTCCACAGCTGTAACTATGGGATTCAAGTGTATTGAATTTCAAGTGTATTGAATATGGGATTCTAGGGTATTGCAGTTGACCTATCATGTTTCTCAGTAGCATTGGCTCAACAAGATAAAATGGTTATGCTATCTTGCAAAGATACAGAGTGGCAAGGTCAAGTCCATGATTGTTTACTTTAACTATGGCCTCTTTCGTGTTGTTCTGAATTAGATGTGGGGTGCTGCAGATTGGAGACAGAGTCTTGGCTATTAATGGAATTCCAACTGAAGACAGCACCTTTGAGGAAGCCAATCAGCTCCTGCGAGACTCTTCCATCACAAGCAAAGTCACACTGGAAATTGAGTTTGATGTTGCAGGTAAAATATGAACCTCAAATCAGTGATGAGAGTCAGGAGAGGGCTGCACATGGCTTATGTCAGCCATATGGCAGAAAGGGGGATATATATATATTATATATCTGCCCAACATGTTTTTGTTTAAGAGGTTTGTCTTGTCATTTTTAATTGTTTACTTTATTCATTAAAATGTCCACACAAGAACTGAAAATTAATATGAAAATCAAATGAGTGATATCCACTATGGATGTGATTTTGAAAAGTTATGTGACTTTCATTCTCTTTAACTTTGCACCTTTATGCTAGAGAAGCCAGATTCCTTAGACCCAGAAACAAGAACACCTTGTCTGACTCATCTTGCTGCAGGGAACACATGACAGTTAGGTAGGGAGCAGTGAAAATTCCTGGAGTGAATGGATACTAATACTTGATCTTTAGTACTGAAGAGAAATTGCACTTGACACTCATGAGGAATAACAGGGAGGACTCCATTCAAGGTAGTTTCACCAGGGCCAAGAGGATCATAATAGATGATAGAACCATCTCTGAATACAGAGAGGGAGTGGAGAGGTGGCCAGTGGGCAAGGTGAGTGTGAGGAGAAACAGGGGTAAGAAAAAAATACTAAGAGAAATCTTAGGTATCAGAGGCAGGGGAGAGGGTACAGATGTCCGCTAAAGTGACTCTGAGGCATTCTTTTTTACTTTTGCTTTTTTAAGCTAGTATGCAAAATAATGGATTTCTTACTACATTTTTACCCATGTGCTTTGCTCATATTCACTCCTGCTATCCTTCCTATTTCATGTTATCCCCTCGCACTTCCCTCCCAAAGAGTTCCCCACTGTCATTCAGAGATTATAGGTAGGTAGATAGATGATAGACAGACAGACAGACAGACAGACAGACAGACAGACAGATGAATAGATAGATAAACTTAATCGAAGTTCTACATATGGCTTTATGGCTCTGGGTGTGCTTTACAGACAAGCGCACAGCAATGACGCGCAGAGCATAGCAACCACCCTGGGAGGGCCTATGGGCCATAACAACCAGTTGACCAATCAACACAGGGCAAAACCTCCAAGCCTGGAGGCACACCAATACTGAGACTGTGTGTACACATAGAAACACACTTTATGCTGCCCTATAAGATCTCTATGCAGACGCTTCGAGCTGTCTTTCCTAGCCATCCTCCATGGCGGGTGGATGAAAGACCCCAGCGAACATGGGGTTAGCTTGTTAAACAACAATAAAGCCTCGTGCTGTTTGCATAAAAAAAAGTTCTACATATGACAAAGAACACGGGGTATTTTTTCTTTCTGTCCACCTCTACTATTAACTCTCTCTTAAACGCCACCTACCAGGAAGATTCTTAGGAAAATTGGGATCCTAAGCTGAGGACATGTCTTAGTCTCAGAGGGGGAGGCTAACAGAATTTGGGTCTTGGAGAGACTCCTAGACAATAGCTAACAGAGTTAAGAGAGTTGCCAGCTGGGAAGGTAGCTCAGTGCAATAAAGCTTTGATATCTAGCTCAGTGGTACAAAGATTTGATATTTAGTACCACTAAAGAAGGACAAAAGGAAGAAAGGAAAGGAGGAGGGAGGAAGGCAGATGGAAAGAGGGAGAGAAGGGGAGGGAGGGAGGAAGGAAGGAAGGAAGGAAGGAAGGAAGGAAGGAAGGAAGGAATATTGGTTGACTTCACACAGCAAAGGATGAGCCCTGCATATCCAGTAACTTTTACCAAAAGGTAAAGGCATACCTTTAGACACAGGATTATATGTCAACAAATATTTGTCATGGGCCAATGACTCTCCTGCACAATGTAGATGTAATTGAAGACAGGAAAGAAAAAGGTCCCCATCTTCATATAACTTTTAAGAGAAACTGAAATTTAATTTAAAAAGCTATCAGTATGAAATTTTGACGTGAATTCTCTGAGGAAAATAAAGCGGAGTAGAGAATGATAGAATGACTGGAGGGGAGCTGTTTTTGTAGGGTGAGTCCCTTAGGAAGAGACATTCAAGCAGAGACAAATTTGGGGAGAAGGCAGAAGCCAGTCAAGGGCCTGGGAGCACAGCCTTCCAGGCAGAGGGAGCAGTGAGCTTGAAGAACCTGAGCCAGAGGAATAACTGTCTGCCTTGCAGTGCAGACATTTGCTGGAGCAGGTAGGGAGGGAATAAGAGCCAGGATTGAGTTTGCGTTTAAAGAAGGCTTGGAGATATCAGAGTCCAGCAGATCCTGGTAGAGAATGCTGGTCATGTCCCAAGTGTACTGAAACCAGGGAATCTGAGCTGTGTTTGGGAAGCTTTCTGAAATGTGCAGGACAAACAGAAAAGTCAGAAAAAATTGGTAATTATGGCAACTGGACAGATGGGAAATGGCAATGGCTTTCTGGAGATGGTGACAGTGAAATTCAAAATTTGACCATGTTTTTGTCATGTAATGACACCTGAGGCTTGAGGATGAATAAATCAGAAGGTAAATATCAGCCTGCTTATTTATTCATCCAGAAGACAACTACTGAGCACAAACTGAACTAGATGCTGCTAGGCTCACAGTATTGGAAGAGAAAATAGGAAGAACGCATGTATTTCCTAAAGGAGCTCACAGCCAATTAGAGAAGAGAAAGAATGTCCAGAAGAGGACTTGAGGGGTTGCATGGCTATTAGAATGTAGAAGTACCTGGGAAAATGTTGGCAGTGCCTCTGGGAGCCCAGGAAGGGGGAGTTATGGGGATGGTATAGAGCAGGACCAAGGAATGTGTCAATGATTGCTAAAGTCATTGAGATAAAGAATGACCCCCTAGGGGAAAAGCAGACACAACACTAGCACTTGGGTAGTGGGAAGGCATAGGCACTGCCTCAGTAATCCTAAAACTAAAAGTGAATTGATGTCTGCAAAAAAAGTTCAGGGCCAGAGAGTTGACTCAGCCAGCAAAGGCCAATGACAAGCCTGATAATGTCTGTTCAATCTCCAAGATCACAAGATGGAAAAAGAGAACCACCTATAAACTGTCTTCTGCTCTACACATGCACACATATACATGTACAAACATACACACACATACACAATACATACACCTACATGCATGCACACATATACAATATGTACACATACATGCACACATTCATGCACACACATATATACACATGCATGCACACACACAAACATGAACACATACCTACACACACATATACACATAAGCATCATGCACACACACACACACACACACACACACACACACACACACACAAGACAAGAAAATTCAGCAAAAGAAATAGAATCCAAGAAGGTGCTATTCAGGAAGATAAAGGATCTCAAGACAAGAGTCCCCATGGCAAAAAGTGCCACAGGAAATTGAAGTCCCATAGGCAGGAAGTGTCTTTGAGTTTGGTAACTGGGTGGGGTGAGCTCTACAGGAGGTATTTCAGAAATCTGGGGAACCAAAGATTGGGTCTCCGTGAGAAAACAGTGTATGAAAGGTGAGGAGTGTGTGCTCACTGACTGCCCAGGACTTGGGTTTGGGAAAGTCTGGCAGGAAACACTCCATGAATATATAGATGGAACAGGAAACTGCCATTAGGCTCCCCCTGCACCCTAACATTTGCTGCGTTTAATTAGGTAAATGCTACTAATAAAATTATGTCTGGCTTTTACATTAACTTTCCCTCTATTCAGTTTCTACACAGGGTTATTTAGCATAGAGCATGTGTGGAAAGGTAAGGTTTAGCTGTGGAGACAGGCAATGGGAAGCTAGGAAAGGAGACTCACCATTCAGATGGGATGTTAGTTTGTTTTGTTGATGCTGGAGAGATTTGAGAAATTTGAGATTCAATGCTGAGGGATTTTAGAAAGTTGAGGCCTGAAAAGTGGGAGAGAAAGAAATATGATCATTCAAATGAGGTCCTCAAAGAAGGGAAGTATCCAGAATATTATAGATAACTTGTCTGAGCAGAGGTTAAAGGTCTCTCCCTGTGAATTTGAATAATAGGGCGTGAGAACAGAAACTCAGGCTAGTTTCTATAAGACGTAGTTCCTGTAAGAACTGCTGGTCAACAGGGAAGAACTGATAGCTTAGGGCTCTGAAAAGAAAAAGATGATTTAGAATGACAGGTGGAAAAATTAGTAAAAACCATCCTGAAGCATAGTACAGAATTTCCAATGTCAGCAGAGTCATCCAACAGTCTACAGTGTCAATATCTACAACACGCAACCCTTGTGGAGAAGTGGGGTTCTGTTGTTCTTTGGTTGGTTGATTGATTGGTGGGGTTTGATATTGTTTGCTTTTTAAAGATTTTTTATTTTATTATTTTGTGTGTATGGGTATTTTGACTGCATTGTGTATGTGTATCACATGCATTCCTTGTACCTAAGGAAATGGTAACCTCCATATGGGTGCTAAGAATCGAACCAGGGTCCTTTGTAAAAAAAAGTGCATTATGGATAGTTCATGATGTCAGAGTGCCTACTCTCTGGCCTGCTGCATAGGCAAGTATTGTGTGTCTTAGATCATTTCATCAGCATCTGCACTGGTAGAGATTGCTATTGTTATGTCAATAGGAAATGGAGGCACAGAGTTAATGCTGGGAATGCATGTTAACACAAACAGACTGATTCTCGAGGCCACACTCAACTATGGCAGCCTGTATTAACAAAACTCTAAGTTGATATATGGCAGGACTCAGTACAGGTTTAGCCAGATGAAATGAGATGAATAGGACTTACAAGAAATAGGAGTCTTGAGGAAGAAAAGTGGGTATAGTCAGAAGAAGCACAGACACGAGGTTATATCTAGGAGTCTGAGGCCAAGTCAAAGTGATGTGTTGGAATTTATAATTCAGAGATTGGCAAGCAAAACTCCAGGTGATGAAGTTGCTTAAGTAATTCAGAGTGAGGTCAAAATTCAGACAAAGAGATCTGGGAATAGGGGAAGCACTACAAGAAATCATCATCAGCTCAGTGAAGGCTTTTAGGATGGGAGCAATGTGGTACCCTGAATGCCAATCACCATCTTACAGCACA